CTTCTCTTATTTAAATTTTAAATACATGAAAGTGCAAGTGGTATCGAATTAAAGTTCAAAGACGATTATCACATATTCAAGTTAGAAGCTTAGCGAGACTTACAAGCACAGCGTAATTATAACTTGTACATATTTACTTACGTGTCCGTCTTATTCCAACTCGCTCACTAAAGAAGATGCAGTAAAGCGCTTCAATGTTGCTTTACGTGCGCTAAACATGTTCCGCAAGCTGATCACTGAGTTTGGGGGAAGCGGATTTTAAAATATAGGCTTAATTTCCATTTCTATCACTAGTGTAGATTTCAGAACAAAAATTTTGGGTGTATAATACGAAGAGAAAACAAGTAAGAATATAATACTCGGGCAAGGCCGACTATTAGATATCCTAAACCATCTCACCTAATACAGTTCTTCACTCATTTTGATTTTAATATACCAACACACATTACACATTATGCTCATGCAAAGGCATAATTTTCACGAAAGCCAACATATTAGAGGAATCTTTATATGCGGTGGTATACAAAAAATAGATCTACATAGTCCAAATGTTGTAAGGTTGATTTCTACATCAATTTACTATTATGAACTTATTTCCGTCATGAAATTTTAAAAATTACACCTTTTTACAGCATAAAGATCAAATTTTCTCAGGAACGGTTATATGACAAAAAATGTCCAAAAGCCGTTGCAGCGCGAGTTTTGTCGAGAAATTTTGCCAATTGCATTTTTATTCCATAGAACGACTTTTCAAAATGGGGTGTTCCCCATAGGTGTTCGTCTCTGGATCAAAGCACGTCAGTGTGCCAAATTTCAGCAAAATATCTCCAAAATTACGACCTTTAACACTAATTTACATGAACTGATACCAAACGGACAAATAGGCTTAGATCAAATGAAAAAATGATTCTGAATCGATCGGTATAATAAAAGGTGGGTCTATGTTAAGCCCTTCCGTTTATTACATATGTCCGCACAAAATTTAGTACCCCGTACCACAAGTTATGTAGAATATAAATAGAATTCGCAATTGGAGTAAACAACAAATAAAAAGAATTAAATTGCTAAAGCATTCATTAATAACATTGATTAACTGAATATATATTTTTAATGAATTTGTGATGTGTTTGTGTGTGTGTTGTGATGTAAACAAATAGAACTATTCTGTATAAAGTAGAAACTTAATTATTAGTTAAGTAGCTTTACTTTGTTAATGGGGAAGAATAACGCCTGTACGCCCGTCTATACTATGTATCTTTTCATATAAAGATTTTTGATATTATATCTTATAAATTCTAAACATTGCCGCCGAAATAAATGCAAGAGCTATTAGGAAAAAAGGTAAAAGAAAAATGTTAGAGTTAAAATGAACAATCAAAAATTCTCTAAAGTTTGTTATTAAAAGTCGTTGAAACAAACATTCGTCATCTCTTTGTTTTTTTTTTTTTTTTTTTTTTTGCTTACATCAAATGCAAAATAAGCAAAATAACAACTCGCGACACTTGGACACATAATGCATCTTTTTTGCTTGATTACACCCGAATGTACGTCGACGAACCTGAGGGGCATCAAAATTGTACTTAATATCGAGTTTGGCATATAGTCAATACTTAAGTTTTTATAAAAAGTTTAACCGAAAAACAAAATAGAGAGGCATTAAACAACAATTATGAATGACATCAACAAGACGTGAAGAAAAACGGAATATTCAGACTAACTGTAATAAGGCGATGAAATGAAAAAGACTTAAAACACGCAACTCAACTTAAAAACAGATGTGTGCCACATCCGCATATCTGATGAAGAGAAGCAACACGAAGTGACAAAGTGACAAAGTAAGTATATCCTCCTACACTGAGGGACAAAAGAGCAAACAATTACTATAAATTCGTCATACATGCCTTTACGCAAAAGTGATTTCATATTGAGACCAGACCTCATAATAACAAGGTAAATATCGCACACATATAACGTAACATATCAGAATAAATTACAAAATCAAGAGACGAGTTACCGGCAATGACGAAATCTTAATTTAAATTATAAATTTCAAGCTGTTTATCGAGAGCTCAGTTCTTTAAAAAAATTAATAATTTCTCGTCCACAAGTTATACGCATTGAAAAGGAAAAGGAAGAGAGTGTGGCTTTTGTAGCTTTTGGGCATAAATTTGACATGTGTTAACAGAAAATAGAAATAGAACAAAAACAGTGTAAACTGTTGTATTTCTTCTCGTTGAACACTTGACGATGATGATGAAAACATATCTATAACATAATTTGCATAAACAATTGTTATTATAAAAAAAATATCACGCATGCAATACCAAAAGTAATTCTTTACTTGTGGCGAACTAAGAGTCAACGCAGAGACAGAGGTGTGATGCTCTATACCTAAACGAACCGAGCCTGTGTACTTAAGAGTAAGTACTAGGTTTCGGAAATATGCAACGCACAAAAACAGGTATCATATGCAAGTTTGTATTGATAGCACAAGAGTCACATGCTACTAAACGCGCTCGTAAACATATGCATTTAATATAAAACGTAACGCGTAATATAACATTTTTTGTGCAAAAAACAACAAACGCTCGAGTGACAAGAATGCATGTAATGCATCGATATTTAAACGGGTTTACATGCGACATACTACGCAAAAAGTAATCAGAATAAAAAAAAAAAAACAACAGTCCAAACAAATCGACATAAACAAATCTTTTAAATTCATCAAAAAATACGGGAGAGTAAGCGAAGCAGTTAGAAGAGAAGAGAACGCACAAAGAAAATAAAATATAACTAAAATAACAAACAAGAAGACTGTTCTCTGTGCTTTCCAATGCCAAAAAATGTACTTTTTAAACGCCGAAAGTACTTCTTTGAATTCAATTTCTTGAAAAACAATACTGTAGCAGTTGCTACTCATAGCCAACAGCCAACGACTTTATTCAGACATTTTCAGACATAATTTGTAATAAAACTCGAATTAGACATTTATTAGAAAGAAATGGTCACGGTTATCGAAATTAGTTGGACACTGTGCGTATTTCCAACTTCCGCTTTCCGCTCTAACTGAAGGTTGATTGTGATCTTATACTAACAGACAACGATATTATCTATTGATATATATATACATATTTATATATATATTTATGTTGCAAATATCCATCGAATATATTAATTTTCTTTAGCTTGGATATATAGGCCAATTTTACCTAGTTGTTAATTGTCGTAGCTGCTGAACAATACAACTGTACAACTGTGGGAATCCTTCCGTACTTTCTAGAATTATCCAAGAAAGCTCAATTTTTTCATAGCGAATCTAGATCTATGAAGCTACATCTCATAAGAGGTATGACAAAAATCATATCTGAATGTGCACCCGTATGCCTCTAAGTGAAACAAAAATGAGGAACTGAAACAGACTCAAGGAAAGCAATAAACATGAATTGTTTCTTGCTTTTTTTCGCCCTTTATATAAGTTTTTTTAATTTCGATAAGTAATGTATACAATCCCCGCTTACTGCATTTGCATTTTGCTTTATTCTTAAGAAACCTTTCGTGGCCATACTTTCTTCTCCAGCAAGTGCCGAAATCAATTTGTTTTTTCTCATTCCAATTTTTCCCAAACCTGTTCTATCCATCTTATCAATTGGATATGTTAAGGTGAAGCAGGTTAACAGTAGCTTATTTAAATTTTCGAATTTTCAACAGTTTACCTTTGAAAAGGCTTTTTTTTTGCCTTATAAGAATGTTTTATATACTCGTGAAGGTGAGGCTTTTAAAAATGAACAATATAGTAAGGGAGTAATTATTCTTTATAACCATGCAATGAGATTTTTTCGAATTATCGAATTAATACCTTTCAAAATCGATGGAAGCGACGTTGCCTAAACATAAAGTACTATGCAAAACTCAAAACCCTAGGCTTGGAATACTTATTACCTAAATTGTGCGAATACATTGCTAGTTTCGATATCGTATTCTCGTATTGCAACTGCTTTATTTTAACCTAAATTCATTAATTAAAAAGATTTAATAAAACTTTTTTTCAATTTATATAAGAGATAGCAGGAAATATACGTTTAAAAAAGTACTACTCCCGTCGTATAAAATAATTATCATCTATGGTACGCACAAAAGGATGACGAGAGAAATTGAAAAGAGAAGAAAATTTTTATTATGACTTTGGGAGAAATAGAGAGATGCTCAATATGACAAGAGACCACCGATATTGGTAGAAATCGAGCTAAATATTTGAAAATTTAAAAAAAACAATAAAAGCTCTTTATAATTTTATGTTCTTCTTAAATATATTTAAATAATTATAAACTTTTTAATATTTTGAATATATATAAAAATGATTATTAATTTAACCCCTTATGCGCGTTTTCAATTGCTACAAGGTATGGAAGTGTCTCTTTTAAACAACCGTGCTCTCAGTCTCTCTCTATCTCTCGATTGCTCTCTTAATTCTAACAAAAAATCTCTCAGATATATTTTCTATAGAGCAACAGACACAAATGCATGGTTAAACGCTCGACCGAAACCAGAATTGCTTCCATAGATTTTTCATTGTCGCGTTAGTTTTAATATAAAACCAGAGAATGACAGTTGATTCGAGTACGTTAGCATGTATGGACGTGTTAGTATTAAGGAAAGGAGGCATTATTTATTGACGTTGCATATGCACAAGTGAATGTAAATACATTAAGAAAAAAAAGAAAAACACACAAACTGGACAAAAAAGCCTCAAATAAGCAATTTTAAAAATTTGCTCGACACTGCGGACGGCAAATTAATGTATATATGAAGAAGAAGAAAAATGAAATAAAAAAAAAAAAAAAAAAAAGGAAAGACAATTACGCATATATTAATAAACATGTAATCGGAGGGGTATGTGTGCTAACGTGTTAATAGTTAATTTTCAATTTTAATTAATTTGCCCTTTCGCAAAACATAAAATAAATTTTGAAAAATAATATTGTGAAATGTTTCTTTTTACTTGATTTTATATAAAATCGAATTCGTTTGCATAGTGTTTAATAAAAAGATGCCAGTGAATTAAATTATTATTTACTAAAGCTAAATGGAGAACATATTTTCGCTGCAGCAGCAATACGGGTAAGAACTGTTTAAGGCATTTTCTACGATTTTAAGATTTATAACATTTTATATTGGACATCTGGATACATTCTAATATCAACTGAATTCGTAGAAAGTCTTATAATTTTATGCTTAAAGCCGTCTCTTGCAAAATCGTTCACAACGATCGGATTAATAACAATTTCTGGTGATAATTATTCAATGGTTGCATCGCTTCCTTTTACTGTATATACGCAGGGGTGCGATGTAGAAATAATAATAATTTAATAAATTTCAATTAACCAACTGAAAGACAGCAAGGCAAACAGAAATGTTACGTATTTCGAATTTTGATTGCACGTCCTTTCCGGTTTGCCTCTTCGTATTTTATTAGCAAATCTTTTCAACTCAACTCACTTGATAAACCGCAATAAGCCTTAATAATGCGTTTTTTAGTTGTTAAAAGCCATATTCACTCTAATGTCCACCATTTAATGTGACTGCATAAACAACGCGGTTTTTTCTTAATTATGAAATACATTATCTATGTCAGTGTGCGATAGCTAGCAATGCATTTTAATCAAGGAATATATCGGTAAAATAAATTTATCGTTCCGTTTGTAATACGTAGAAATTTGTATCCGACAAATTACAAACTATATATATTAATAATGCACCGATTTTGCCATATCCGATTGATTAGCTCTAATCTTATTGAACCGTTAAGCGCGCAAAGGTCGATCTGAAAAGCTATCATTAAGCGCATGTTTTGTTGATAGCCACAACTCAGTTTTTCTTCTTCTTTTTCTTCTTCTTCTGAAAGCAAAATATTGCAAATTCTGCATATATAAGATCTACGGAGGAACATTTATTAACGTCAATTTTCAATTCGTCATTCCGTTTGTTTGTCGTAGGGTTAGAGTGCAAATTCTAAGATAGTCCGGAAATTTCGTGCGCTTTTTCGCTATGAAATAAAATCATTTTCTGTTATATAAGCAATACACTTATTTTCGATAAATCGAGTTTTTCTGCACTCTCGCGAATGGTTATCTGTCCATCAGTTTAAATCACAACCTTTAGTTGGTCATCGTCAATAGTCTTTGGTCTCTCAGAACACGGCAAAGCTTTCACTGAAAATTTCACAAAAGGAAATTTTGCAAACCAACTTTGAGAAGTGCGTTTTGTTACAACACATGTTCCATACGCAGAACATATTTCTCTATGTGCTCACTGTGCTGTTCAACGTATTAGTTACACGTTACGCTACTGTAACATAACCGATCACTTTGAAAGTTTTTTACAAAATAAACATAAGCCCGCTCCACATAACTACATATACCTTTCACCCTAATTATCTGTTTAGTTTGCTGAGAAAAGTTATTTTAACTTTGCCTTACATTCGCATAAGGTAATAGAGATTGAAATTCACGACAAGTCGAAATGGCTTTCATACCTGTTATGCTAAATATTGCTAAAACATTTCATTACTGGACTGATATCAAATTGATGTCGGTGTAATTCTTGAAATTTCAACAAAAATATTGATTGATTAAAACTTCGCGCCTGATTGCACTGGTATTCCTTTTATATCTTGGGCTCTACTCTAAGAAGTCAAAGGCCTTACGAGGATTTCTTTACTTGAGGATTTCTGCAAAGAAGAACTTCAACGCCTATAGAAAATAATGGAAACGGGCTTCATCAAAATGTACTTAGCTCTGTTCCAAATCGGCCAAAAACTTATAGAATCATCCCAATATATTCAAATTTTATGATTGTTTTTCTCTCCCCTCCTTTCCTTTTTGCTGAGGTTTGCTTAATAAGGGCATTAAATGATTAAATGACGTTTCTTTCCTATACTCTGTCATTGTGTTTATTATTATTTCCTACTAACTTCACTTCAAAAGTGGATCTATTTAAAACATTTCTCCACAAATTTAATCAGCGAAAGCCCGCCAAAGGTGCTGCATAACTACAAGCATGTGTATAAAATGAATTTCGCTTTCTTCAGATTTTGGGGAGTTCCAGCAGACTTATGTAACTATTGATTGCTACCAGCTCGATATTATTGTTGGCACGATTAGTACTGTGGTACATAAGCCACTTAGCATTAATTGTGAATACCTGCCGCTAAGGTATCATCTTTTATATTGTTCTTGTTAGGGGCTCCTCTGTCCGTGAGTCTTTTCCTTTTGCTTGTTCATTACGGTTATATCTAACATGTTAGCTTCTACACTGGCATTGGCGTGGACAGAGCTGTCTCAGTGTACTCTATACGCAAACTTTTCAACTATTAATTTTGAATTTTAGATGTAATAAGATATTCTGTTTTCCTATAGATTTATGCTGTGCTTTATGTACTGTTGGTACAAGAAAGGTGCATCCTGATATGACATACTAAATGTTTTTGATTGGATTGTATTCACATCGACAATTATCAGGTGTTACGGATGAGTCTTATACAATAGTTTCTCGCTGTAATAGCCTGGCATTGAAGGACCATTATGAGCCTTTCTATTTCTGGAAAGAATTGTCGGCATGTGAGACAATATTTCAAAGTTTAGATGAATATCAGCCATGCATCCGTTTAACCATCCTTCGTTCCTTCCTTCTTTCTGTTCCCTCTTCTGCGGTGATTGTTAAAGGGCTTCCTTGATTACTGAATTGTTAATTGCCTTAATAACGTTAATTATTTTATATTCTATCATTAACAATTAATTACGTTATTAATATCATTTTTAATATTAACATTATCGTTATGATGGTTAATTCACTTTCCCATTCCATTTCTGGTCACAATTTACATGCAGCCAAGCTAAGCAATGTATTATTAGCATTAAAGGCTTAAATGAAGGAAGGCATCATTTCATTATAATATAAGCGAATTTATGTCTTAGCTTTAAACTATAGCAGTGGTGTAGGTCCCGCTTATTTGATTTGGATCATCTGCGTTATGCATTTTTATATCTCGAATATATGTGATTAGGAGGGTGTTCATTTTAAGCAACAATTTTATTTTAAAAGGTATTATCAATAAAAAATTTCATTGTCTTATAAAGAAAGAACTATAATTCATACGTTTGGTTATATTGCGCGGAAATGAAATCCATATCAAATGTTGGATAAATAAAAAAGTCATTGGCGTTTCTCTCAATAAATAGTTTTATATAAATGTGACTTTGGTAAAACTGACATGTTTTATGCAAGTGAAAAGTGAAAGCCTATAGTGTTGTAGCATGTGTTTCTTTAATCGAAAACAAATGTGTTGAAAAACGAGCCAAAGTTGTAGAAAATTCGCTTTATTTTACAATAGATTCAGAATTGATTAGTTAGGGAAGATGTCGCCTTTCACCACGATAATGCCAGACCACACATATCTTCATTTACTCCTAAAAATTGGGAGAGCTTCGCTGAGAAGTTTCGATGTGACATAGCTCGGACTCGCTGGCTATGTCTCTACAAAATTCTCATAATGGCAACCTCTTGACTCAAATTTTCGTTTAAAAATCGTAGAAGTTTCGCAATGATCGAAATATTATTACAAAAAAAGGTGGCACTCAGTTCATTTAAAATATAAGAAAAATTTGGGTGAAATTTAAAAAAATGGAACCACAAAAGTTTTGCTTTACGTAACATTTTTCTTCTTTTTTATCAGTGAAGGAATGTCTTCAGTTCAATTACAAAAACAACAAAATCATGCTCGGATAGGAGATAAGATATGCCGCTTAATGACAGTACATATAGAATAAAGTAAACAGCCTTATCTCACACATGTTGAAAAAAAAAAAAAATGAAAAGGGAAGAAAAAACTAGAAATACAAGACTGTCTGTCTTACTCACCTAACATGTTTGGCAATCATCATCTGCCCTTTACGGCCAATGCCATTTACGTGTAATAATTAGTCTCAGATATGCTTACGGCAAAGAATTAAAAAGAAAAAATTGTGTTGCGACGGTAGACGGGCTGTGAAATTTTAGCATATTTTTTTTTTTTTATTTTTCGTGTAAACTCAAACAAAAGTTGATAAAAACAATCAACAAATGATTGATGGTAATGAATAATACTGCTCTATACTTTGTTTACGCTGCTGCTTAAGTTTTCATAGAAGAATAAACTTCTCTCTCTTTTTTGCCTTCACCCCGCTCAATCACTCACAACCACTCAAAGGATGTCCCTCGTACGTGTATAAACACGATGAGAAGGTTAGGGAGAAAAAAGTGGAGAGAGGATATAAATTGTGGCCATGGTCTAGGATGCAAAGCAAAGGACAAGATAATAAGAAAATGCCGTTGTCCTAGGCGACTGCTTGACTGCTTGACTGCTTTGCTGCTGCTCTCAACACTGCCTATTTCATAGTTACTCTGTATAAATACTCAAGTGCAGCAAAAGTTGCATTAAACCGAATTGAGCAAGCTGAACGCTATTGCGATCTTTAGTTACGTTAAAATTACTTGACGAAACGCCATCTACGTCCTTAAGGTCGTAAGGTTTCAATGAATCAAAGATATTAGACATACTACGCGTACCTTGACTGAATATGAACAAAAGACTTGGTTTGCAATTATAAAACAAATACAAACGCTATAGTGAGCCGCTGCCCGCCATTAACTACGCTACACCACCGTGTTGTCATTCCTAGGGCGACTTTCCAAAATAAGGCTTTTTGTGGGATATGTGGTCCAATTTAATCCAGTTTCAAAAATGCCCGCACTTGGATGAAAATAAATATAAAATATGTATCATCTTTCATCATCGTCGCAAGAATTTGTACATGTGGATTGAGTACAAGTATACATGGATAGACCTAGGACGGACAGATAAGCTTACGTCAATTCAAAAGGTGGTTCTGGATAGATTGGTATAATGAAAGACGGATCTGTCCCGGTTCCTTCTTGGCATTGCAGACCTCCGCACAAACTTAATATACTCTCCACAACAATTTGCATGGGTTGTAATGAATAGTGGTTTTGTTACGCATAACTGTAATATTTCAGTTTGCAAAAAGTGAAAAATTTGTAAAGATTCGCAGAACATAAGATAT